TTTTTTTTTTTTTTAAGTCTAGATCTTCCTCAAAACTCAAAAAGGACTATTTTTGAACTCTGAAAAAGAACATTGAGTTCTGTTTCCTCTCCCTGCCTTGGCAGAGTTCACTCATTTGGTAATTCCACTCAGGACGCAGGGAGATAACAGCACACGTCCCCGGCTCCTCCAGCTGCCAGCTGCTCGGGCTGGCTCTGGGCAGATGGCTGGAAGATGTTCTCCTGCATCCCAGGGACAGGTGGGAGAAACTGGCTCCAGTCCAGGACTTGGATGCAGTTGAACTGCTCCTGGATAAGATACAACCTGCCACTGGTAGGGTAGCAGGACAGGTGCCTAAGCACACGGAAGTAGCCAGAAGCCAGGGCGTGGTCTGGCTAAGCCTGCCTCTGATGGCCGCAAGACCCCCACGTTGCCAACTGCCCTTGGGGGTCAGTGGCCCGAGGCTGTCCTATCTAAAGGATGAGTCTTCCTACCCCACTTCCTTCCTGGGTCCTCTCCCATCTGAAGGGTCCCTAAAGGCCAGCCAGCATCACCTCCCTGAGTGCGCAGAGGAGGAACTGGGAATTTTAAGTGCTTGCTTACTCCCAGCAGCCTCTGACCTACAACCCAAGGCTATGTGCCAAGAACTTAGCCCTGCCAGGAACCTGTGCACTCTGCTTGCCACCCAGGAGGGACACTTTTAATGTTGAAATCTACATGTTTAAGTGATAAAAGATTTTAAGGTTAAAAAAAAAAATACATGTTTCTCCTCTGTCCTCCTCATCACCTCCTGGGCCTCCCAAAGGTAAAGACTGGCTCTGGTTCATCGTAGTATACAGTAGGAGTTCAATAATGTGCACTGGCTTAATGAGCAGTTAGGTGAATGCATGAGTGATGCACCTCACCTGTGTCAAACGTGAGTTAGGAGGGCACACCTGGGTATGCCCTCCAGGCTCCTACCATCACCAGATAGCAAGCTTGCCACGCCACTCTTGCAGAGCACATGGTTTAGAGGGGCCTGCCCTCCCCAGCCCAGAACCGCTGCTCCTGCCACTCTCCAGCCCTGGACCTTCTCCGCACTTTCTCACTGCTACTCTTCTGCTCCTAAGCTCTTCTCCATAGCTCTTCCCTGGTCTCCCCCAGCCCTACCCCAAGTGCCTGCCTCACACACTGTACTGATTCTGTTCAGACGCTCATTCTCATTTGTCATTTCATGCTTACCTGGTGTTTGTTTAACGTAGACTCTGTGAGGGTGGAAATTGGGCTGTTTTCTTACCATTCTTTTGCCAGGGCCTAGTCCAGAGACAATGGATGGCGCTGACTGCGTGTGTGAGTCAGCAAGCCAGAGCTGAGCTGATGGAAATGTTCCACCTGGGAGACAGGCCATACCGACTACAGGTGACCTGGATGCCCCATGAAAAAGGCTCCAACTACCCACCACTCTCTGGTGGGCCTGCTCCGCCCAGCACCTCCAACACCATGTTCGAAGTCCAGCCTTCATCTCATGCGGAGTTTCTGAAGTCAGCTCTCGGCAGAGCACTCCTCATCAGCCACCCAGCCTGTTTTCTGTTGCCTCAGGCCAGAAAGCCTGGAACCATCTCAGCTGCTCAGCCTCTGAGCCAGCACTAGGAACACCTGGGCTCTTGGTGAAGCTGCATCTCAGATGCAATCCCACAGCTCCGCCCAGGCCTCAGCCTCATCCAGGCCCTGCCTCCTCCATTCACCCATCCTGCAGAACAACCGTCCTCTCCATTCAAACTCCTGCTCCCATCTAGCTTTCCCTCATGCCCCCAGTCCAAGTTTCATCTCCTTGGAGTGGCATCCATAGCCTTTCCTAATGTGACCCCCTCGGTCCCTAGCCAACTTCTCCAGCCTTGCCCATCACCCTCTGTTGCCTACCCTCTGTGCTCTGTGTCCTCCCCTACCCTGAAGGGCTTCACTCAGGTTACACTGGGTGATGATGCTGCACATAGTCCCTAGAATGAAGTTGCCTGGGTTTAAATCCTTTGGGCAAGGCATTTAACCACACCTTGCCTACTTTCTCCATCTGTAAAATGGGGACAGTAATAAAATTTCCTTCATAGGATTGTTTTGGTCAATAAACGCAACAAGGTCTTGAGAGCAACTCACATAGAACCTGGGACATGGTAGGTGGTCAGAAATATTCAGTCCCTCCTTCCCCAGAGATGCTGCCACCTTTCAAATGTCCAACATCAAATGACAGGCATCCAAGGTTAGCCAGTTAACACTGGTGTAGACTTACAGCTCCCCTCTCCTTCCCAGACATTGGCAGGGTATTGTATCATTACAGATAACAACAAATAGCCATGCCAACAAAAATAAAGAGAAATAGTTTCAAGAAAGCAACACAGAAACGTAGCACACGGTTGCAGCTCTGATTTGGCACAGCAACCGCAGGAGCCGGCAGTTGTGACAGCAGTCATTTGATAATCCCTTTGGGCCGCCTAATGAGGGGAGTGACGTCATGGAGGGTGATCAGAGGAGAAAGTCCAGGGTAAAAACAGCCCCAGTCGAAGTGGAGATGCCGCACCAAGGCATCAGCCACCTCCCTGCCTCACAGATTAACCCGAACTCAAGGGACCCCCTTCGGGGAGATGGTTTGGTTGAAGTGTGATACATAATATATGGGCTCAATGAAGGATCTACTGTGACTCGTGTGGCTTCTGATAGAATAAATCCCTACCCTAGCAAACTAGATTCCAGAGTTAAGTGCTACCTTCCCATCTGGGTGAAGCACTCACTGCTTCTGTACTTCATAGTGAAAAGGAAAACCATTCTCTCTCAGTCCCAACACCCTTCAAGCCATTGCCCTTTGTCCTTTAAATTCCCTGTCTCCTGAGGAAAGGGCTGTCTGGACTTGGGGTCTACACACTGGCTGTCCGCATTCACTCCTCAGGTCCCTCAGACCTGGCTTCACCTGTCACCACCCAGAGTGCCCCTTGTGTATAGTTGAGTCTTCTCACTGGCCCTGCACATCCCCCAGTGGCTCCCCCACCCCTGCACGCATGTCACCAAGGTCATGCACAACACCACTCACAAGTCGCAGAAGGCAGCTGTGGCCGGCCGAGTCCCTGGTGCTGGTGCCCTCCCATCTCCGCCGTGGCCTCTGGTCTCACATGCCTCTGAGTCACCTGGTCAGCCCCGAACCCTCACTCTGTCTCTGTGGCTCCTGCATCCGATTCTGCCCATCTTGATTTGGCCTTTGGTTCTCAGCTAAGTTGTGGCTAACTGATCCACATTCTAGCTTTGCCCCATTTCTATGACTTGGCCCCTCACCCCCACCCCCCCACTGCCAAAGGCTTCTACGAGGGCCATGTATTCTTCCTGGAGCTTGACAACACTAATGATGCCCAAATCTCTGTCCTGAATGGGAACCCCCTGTAGCACTCCAGACCTTCCGATACAACTGACCCCACTTGGGTGGCCCACAGGTGCCTCAAGTGCCACAGGTTGTAAACTGAACTCTGTATCTCCGCTCTTCCTGCTCCTCCCTTGCCGTCTGTCGCTAATGGCACCGACACCACTTAGTGTCTGAAGTTACCCTGCTCGACTCTTCTACCTCGCTCTCACAGCCAATCAGTCACAGGCATCCCCTTCTACCCTCTCCCCTGCCCACCTGCCTCGAGCCTTTCTTCACCCCGCCCACCCTCCTGCCATCACCTGGGCTATGATTAGCAGCCTCCAAGCTTACAGAATAAAAACCCACCCACTCCCTGTGTCAGGGAGCACAGTAGGTGGGGAGGGAGCGTACAGGGTGCCGGATGTGGCCAGAGCCTGACCCTCCTGGGGATGGAACACCACCGGCAGTGGGTAGACAGGAGCAGCAGAGAAGTCGGGGGAGGTGGGGAAGGGGGCAAAGGGCTCTGAATATCAGGCCACCTTCTGAGTTTTGGGGGTAGTTTGTGAAGATCGTATGGAAACACATATGAAGATGAGGGCATGGGGCAAATATGTGATATACAAGGGTGACCCCTCAAAGCCCGGCTCGCTGAGCCGACTGCAGGCAAAGTGCAAAGTTGTAAAAATCGAGCCCTTAGTGAGCCTCCCAAGCCAACGACACCAGAGGCATTCTGTCTGTTTTCCCTCTATCCTCTCTTCCCAAGTGGCTTGGGCAGGATTCAATGCAAATGGCTGGGAAAGGGCGTCTGTGGGCTCTCCCTGAGATACATCCACATCCCTCTGGCATGGGGTCTCATGGCAACAACAGATGGCTCCCTGGTATGGTGGGTTTGTGTGGTTTTATCTCTGTTTTCCTTGTTTCGGTTTTTGAGAATGGATTTTTTCTTTAACACTCTCGGTCTCCTCTAGTTCTTAGAAATAGAGAAGGTGTTCATGCTGAAATGAGCCCTACAAGGCTCCCTGCAGATGTGGCTCAAATCCTTCTGGAGGATGTGGCAAGCTCCTGGAACGCCTCTTACCTGCAATGTCACAGAGTTCTGCATCCGAAGCGTTTGCCAAGGCTTCCTCCAGCTCCGGTTCCAGCGTCACACTTTCCAGCACAGGATCCATTGGCTTCTGCTTAGGAACCCAGACCTTTCCTGAAAATACACAGAGGACCTGTTACGGGAGTGGCTGCAGCGGAGCAGCCTCTGGTGATGGCCCTGCGTGGACCAGAGCCCTGTGGGTCCCTCCATGCTGAGAGTCCCTTCAGGTTTCTCCCTCTGGGAACCAACTTCCCCAAAGAACAGGAATCAGAGATCTCCAACACAGCACCCCTCACACTTGACAAGAATGATTTTATAACTTGGTCCAAGCCGACTACCCTCTATCAAAAGCATTGGTCATGACCAAACAATCTGTAAGTAGGAAAAAAATATCACAGAAAAATTTAATAGAATGCCAGGGTCTGCGATACCCTAACCAAAGGTTCTGAGACCTTGGGGAAATGAGAGAAAAATATATAAACATTTCTAAACAAATAAATAAAATAATGAAAAGGGAGAAAAAAATGCATCCTTGCCTCATTATCGTATTTTTAAAGTGTCAGATTCATAACGGCATGAGGGAAGTAAAGAGGTACGTATGAGGATGGTCACTGTCATGCCCAGCCACAGGAATTGGCGAAGAAATTATGGTGCATCCATACAATGAACTTCCAGCAGTTAGTATAAAGGATGACGGCGATTGCTACTTACTAAGAAGGAGAATGCCTAGGACAAATGTTGTTTGAAAAAGGCAAACTTACAAAGTAGCACGAACAATTTAATTCCATTTATGTGAAATTGCATATGTGTATTTATTTACTCAACAACATTTACTGAGTGCTTCTTATGTGCCAGGCACCTTCCTGGGGGCTAGGGGACAGCAGTGAGTAAAATCCTCAAGAGCTTCTGATGTAGTGAAAGGAGACAGATAATAAACTTATAAAGATATGGAATGGTATTAAGCATTATGGAGGAATACAAAGCAGTACAAGGGCCTAGAAGATGACAGGCTGGGATGTGGGTGGGGTGGACACTGCTGTTTTGGGAAAGCTAGTCAGAGGACGCCCACTGAGATGACAGCCTGTGACATGGGACCTGATAGAAGTAAGGAAATGAGCCCCTAAGATCAGGAACAAGACAAGGGTGCCCACTTTTACTGCTGCTATTCAACATTGTACTGGAAGTTTCAGTCAGAATAAATAGACAGGAAAAAGAAGTCAATGGAATCCAAACTAGAAAGGAATAAGTAAAATTGTTTCTGTTTGTAGGTGACATAATCTTACGTATAGAAAACCCTGAATTTCCACACACAAAAAAACCCTATTAGAACTAATAAAGTCAGCAATATTGCAGGATACAAGATCAACATACAAAAATTAGTGGTATTTCTGTACATCAGCAATGAAAAATTTGAAAAGCAAATTAAGAAAACAATTGCATTTATAATACATCCAAAGAATAAAACTTGGGAATAAATTCAGCCAAACGGGTGAAAGACTTGTGCAATGAAAATTATAAAACATTACTGAAGGAAATTAAAGACCTAAGTAAATGGAAAAATACTTTAAGTTCATGGATTGGAACACTTAATATTATTAAGATGGCAATGCTACCCAAAGCAATCTACAGATCCAATGTAATCCTTATCAAAGTTCCAATAGTCCTTTCCCAGAAACAAAAAAGGGTGATCCTTAAATTCATATGGAATTACGGGCCACAAATGCCAAAACAATGTTGAAAAAGAGCAAAATTAGAGCACTCATACTTACTGATTTCAAAACTTACTAAAAAGCTAAACAGTGTAGTGCTGGCGGAAGGATAGATAGATAGACAATGAAATAGAATTGAGAGTCCAGAAAGAAACCCAAACATCTATAGCAAATTGATTTTCAACTAGGGTGCAAAGTCCATTCACTGGGGAAAGAATAATCGCTTCAACAAATAGTATTGAGACAACTGCATATCCACATGCAAGAGAATGAAGTTGGACCCCTATTTCACACCATATGTAAAGTTGAACTCAAAATGGAATGACTTAAATATAAGTTAAAACTATAGGCCGGGCGCGGTGGCTCACGCCTGTAATCCCAGCACTTTGGGAGGCCGAGGCGGGCGGATCACGAGGTCAGGAGATAGAGACCACCCTGGCTACACAGTGAAACCCCGTCTCTACTAAAAATACAAAAAAATTAGCCAGGCGTGGTGACGAGCGCCTGTTAGTCCCAGGTCCTCGGGAGGCTGAGGCAGGAGAATGGCGTGAACCTGGGAGGTGGAGTTTGCAGTGAGCCGAGACCCTGCCACTGCACTCCAGCCTGGGCGGCAGAACAAGACTCCGTCTCAAAAAAAAAAAAAACCAAAAAACAAAAAACTATAAAATTCAGGCCTGGCACGATGGCTCATGCCTGTAATCCCAGCACTTTGGAAGGCTGAGATGGGCAGATCCCCTGAGGTCAGGAGTTCGAGACCAACCTAGCCAACATGGCAAAACCCCATATCTACTAAAAATAGAAAAATCAGCTGGGCGTGGTGGTGCGTGCCTGTAGTCCCCGCTACTCAGGAGGCTGAGGTAGGAGCATCGCTTGAACCCGGGAGGTGGTGGTTGCAGTGAGCCGAGATTGTGTCACTGCACTCCAGCCTGGGACACAGAACAAGACTCCATCTAAAAAAAAAAACTATAAAATTCTTAGAAAAAAACGTAAAAACATAAGGGTATGTCTCCATGACCTTAGAATTGGCAGTGGAGTCCTAGATATGATAACAAAAACACGAGCAACAAAAGAAAAAATAGATCCATTGGACTTCATCAGAATTTAAAAGTTTCGCACATCTAAGGATACTATCAAGAAATTGAAATGACAATATACAGAAGGGGAAACATATTCACAAATCACATATGTGATAAGGTCTAGTATCTAGAATACAGAAAGAACTTTTACAACTCAACAACAAAAGGAAAAACAACCCAGTTTTAAAATGGGTAAAAGATTTGAATAAACATTTCTCCAAAGAGGATATACATATGGCCAACAAGCACATGAAAAGATGCTCAACATCATGGCTCGTTAGGGAGATGCAAATCAAAACTACAATGAGATACACTTCACACCCATGAGGATGGCTACAATTTTTAAAAATGGAAAATGCATGTTGGCAACAATGTGGAAAATTGGAGCCCTCATACATTGCTGATTGGAGTGTAAAGTGGTATGGTTGCTATGGAAAAGAAGTTTAGCAGTTACTCAAAAAATTAAACATAGAATTACTATATTATTCATCAATTCCACCCCTAGGTATATACTCCCAAAAAGCTAAAAACAGGTATTCAAACAAATACTTGTACAGGAATGTTCAAAGCAGCACTAATCACAATAGCCAAAAGGTGGAAATAAATGACATGTCTATCAGTAGATGAATGGATAAACAAATTGTGGAATATCATTCGGGTATAAAAAGGAATAAAGTACTGATTCGTGCTACAACATGGATGAGTCTGGAAAACATTGTGCTCAGTGAAAGAAGCCAGACACACAAAGTCACATATTGTATGATTTCATTTGTAGGAAATATACAAAGTAAGTAAACCCATAGAAACAGATTGGTGGTCACTAGGGGCTGGGGCAGAGGGAGTGGGAGAGTAATTAACTGTAATAGGTATAGGGTTTTATTTTGGAGCAACAAAAGTGTTTTGGACCTTGATAGAGGTGGTGGTTGCACAATGTTGTGAATTGTTCATTTTTAAATGGATAATTTTATGTTATATAAGTTTTACCTCAATTTATAAAAACCTACACAGCTCACAGTAGCTGTTGATGGAGGATAAGCTGAAGGGAGTGCAGGTGGAGGTACGGAGATGATTAGGAGGTCGGTGTGGGTTCAATACCAGGGTTGTAGTGGTGAAGGTTGAGAGGGAGTGGGAAGCGCATGGAGAAATGTCCAGAAAGATATTCCCTAAAATGGGATCAGTGCTTATTTTCAGTGAAGGAAATGATTTTGAATTACTTAGCTTTATTTTGTAAATTGTTTACAGCAAATATCAATTACCTCTATCAGCAAAACACACAACAGAATCATTTGGGGAAAAAAATGTATCATAGCTTCTATTAATATCAGATTCCAGGGATCCAGAAAAGAGGAAAACATAAAAGGAAAATAAAATCCCTGAAAAGGAACTCAAGTATTAAAATGACTAAAGCAATGGCTGAGATGAATATTCAATAAATATTTAATACCTGTGGTTTATTATACCCCATAACAGGTTCCTCCAGTGAGGATGGCAACTCTGAGCCACTGTAAGAGGTACCTAGACTTCTTCCCTTCATCTTACTAGTGGCACGTGAATGTGATGGCTGGAGCTTCAGCAGCCAGATAGACCATGAGGACAAAGACAGGTTTAGGGGTTGCAGAATGAAAAGCTGGAAAGGGTTGTGATCCACGATGCTAAGCAACATGCCTTGCTAGCTCTGGAATGCCTAGGGCAGGATTGATTTGTGTACCGCTCAGACTCCCTTCCCCATCCCTCACACCATCCTCCAGGTCCTCCCCTGGGAGGGGTGTGGGTACATGAGGAAGTGGACGACAGCAATGACTCACCTTGCTAGATATCCACCTAGGTCTGCTGCCCATCCCCACTCCCTGCCCTTGTCCTCACCTTCTCTCCTGCCATCCCTTCCAGGATCCCTCTGACCATGCACTCCTTTCAAAATTCAGAAGTTCTATAATCTAGATGCCCCTTAGGCCTCCCTGGACTTCCAGTTTTCAGTGAAACCCGGATTGAGCTCCAAGTCCAGGGTTTGGAATGGCTCGAAGTCCTCTGCACAATGTCTACCCCCTCATTTTATGAAGCAGCTACTTAGTGCCGGGCATTGTGAGAATACAACAGCGATACAGGGGTGCCAGCCACAGATGTGGACCTGGAGCTCACAATGCTTGCATTCTTAGGGGTGGAGGGAATGGAAGAGACTGAAAAGAAATAATTAATTACACAATTAATTAATTAGAATTAGTGCTTTCATTCAACAAATATTTATTAGGTGCCTTCTATGTGCTACAGATTTATTAGGTGCTGGTGATGAACAAGACAGATATGGTCTTTGCACTTGTGTAGCTGGTATTCTAAGGAAGTAGTGCACCAATCTATTAAACATTTATTTAATTTTAGCTCATCCATTCATCCAACAACTCTCTACTCAACCCTACTATATGGCAGGCCTCGCGCTGGCTGCATGCTGGGAGTACCACTTGAGCAAAAACAGCCCAAGTGGTTGCCCTCAGGGAGTTTACAGGCTAGTGAGAGAGACAGATGAAAAATAAAGAGATGCTGATAAGATGTGAGTTGCTCTGAAGGACACACACAGGCTCCTATGTTGGAAAATAACCAAGCGGGGGAGTTGGAGAGGGACTGCCTGTCCTGAACAGAGTAGACAGGGATGGTTTCCCTGAAAGAGAAGACTGTACAGTTGAGACCTAAAGGTCAATAACAACTAATACTTAAGTAGCATTAACTTCCTGCCAGATGCTGTTCTAAGCGCTTGACAGAGATCTGAACTCACTTAACCTTCATTACAACCTCCTGAGGCTGGTATTTTCATCATTCCTGTTTTACAGAGAAGGAAATGGAGGCACAGTAAGTTAAAACATTTACATATGTTCACACAGCTAGTAAGTGGTAGTGCCAGGATTGCAATTGAAATAGATCTAGCTCCAGGCTGCTTCTGACCATTATATCTTACCGGGCAGGAGGAGCCAGCCATGAAGAAGACAGCATGGAGCTGGGCAGCAGGACCAGCACTCCAGGCGTAGGGAGTATGTGCAAAGGTCCTGAGGTGGAAAGTTTGAGAAGAGCAGAAGGAGGCCTATGGGACAATGGAATGAGGGGGGTATAGGAGGGGGCAGAGGGTTTGGAGAGCAATGGGAAGTCCCAGAAGAATGGATGATTAGGGAGGCCCTCTCTGTTCGCCTGGGGCCTTCAAGATGGCTTGCCTCAGGCTGGAGCAGAGAGTATAAAGGGACAGACGAAGGAAGGGAAGCTGCAGCTGCCAGAGAGCGGAACTTTGGAGAAAGAGCAGAGAGAATCCAGGTGGAGATGGTTAGTGCATCTCTAGTCCCTGGTTTGCATAGGATGGTCCCTACTTAGGCCTCATGCTTTTTTTGTTTTTGTTTTTGTTTTTGAGATGGAGTCTTGCTTTGTCGCCCAGGCTGGAGTGCAATGGTGCAATCTTGGCTCACTGCAACCTCCGCCTCTGTGGTTCAAGCGATTCTCCTTCCTCAGCCTCCTGAGTAGCTGGGACTACAGGCTTGTGCCACCATGTTTGGCTAATTTTTGAATTTTTAGTAGAGACAAGGTTTTTACCATGTTGGCCAGGCTGGTCTTAAACTCCTGACCTCAGGTGGTCTGCCTGCCTGAGTCTCCCAAAGTCCTGATGTCATTATTAACAGTTTCTTCTTTTACTCTCAAAACTGTCTAGGTTTGCATTAAAAAAAAAAAAAATCAGGACATCGTGAAAGAGGGTTTAGGGAAAAGTTTTGCTGATTTGAGTGGATAGGAGTCTTTCCTCAGTCTACACCCAAAAATTCATGAAATCTACATCATCCATAGATGCTTTTGAAGTTGGGTTTGGGTGTTTTGGCCAGGCAGGGATGAGGACAAGGAGGCCCAGTCACATTTGGCCCAACACAGGGCCTGGCAGGGCCTGGCATACAGTCGGCACTCAGTGGTGCATGGGGAGTGGCATATTATAACAGCAACATTGTTCAGTACCTCGTTTCTCCCCTGTGTAGGGGACCAGATCTTCTCGGTCCTTAAACTCCTTTGCTTGCTTTTCCAAGTGATCCAAGAGCTCCTCTCTTTTAAAGGGGCCCGTGGGCGCCTTGGTGGTCTGATCCTTCTGCCTCAGGCCTGCAGGCAGCAGTGCATTCTACAGTGGAGGTTGTGGGGGGCAGGAGAGAGAGAAAGAGAGAGAGAGAAAGAGAGAGTGGTCAACTGCTGAAGACTTGCACTTCTCCAGAAACTCATCATCGAACAGCAGGGACCTCAGAGCTCATGGAATCCATGGTGTCCCTCATTTTACATGTAAGGAATCTGAAACCCCAGGACGGGGAGGGACTTGCCCAAGGTCAAAGGCAGACGAGGGGCAGAGAGAGGCTAGGACTCAGGTCTCTCAATCCTCCAGCGCATCCCTGCCTCTAACATTTTTGAAGGAGAGGAGGTGAGGGGTCAAGCAAGGCAGCCGACTCCAGCCTGAGCACAGAGGGCACTGAAAGAGCATCTGTTGAGTGATGAATATGATTGAGTTGTTGTTTGGACGCATAAAGATATTTACAGGAGTTGAGTTGAGTATCAAGTGGTTGGAGAGAGACGAAACCAAAAGGGGGTTGAGCTGGGGCCCTGGATGGAGAATCAGGCAGGAAGAGGCAGACCAAAAAAAAAAAGCTGGAGAAAGGCCCAGGAAAGCAGTGAGGTGAGCAGTGCCCTGCAGAGCTAAGAGGCAGACAGGGCATGCTTTCTGGCCACAGCCCCTGCTGGCTCTACCCGCTGCCTTCTAACCTCCTGACAGGTCTGTGCTCACGACACACTGGTGGTTAAATATTTTGAACGTCGCCCTTGGAGATGGGTATCTCAAGAAACATAACATCAACCAATTGTTCCCTTCTCTTCTTCAAACATAAGCAGGCTTCTAGGTGTGGGCTTACTGCTAAAGCAGATTCCTATTAGGGGGGATTGGAGTTACCCTCATGGGCTTCACTTTAACTCAGCCCCTGGTACCTTAGGGAGTCAAAGAAGTTTACAGCTGCAAGGATGCTTGGAGACCATCTAGTACATACGCTCTCCCATTAGGGGAGACTGAGGCCTGGAGCAAGGAAAGATTTGCCCAAGGAGTTTCAGGACAGATCTAGAACAAAAACCAGGGTTCTTCTTCAGATCTACGGGAGCAGGATAATCTTCATTTCTAATCGTTGTGCTCTCCCGGTTCCCTGCATTTGCAGAGCTAGTGGGGAATACATGGGCGGCTGGTATGGGGAGAACATCACCCAAAAGATATGCACCTTCAAACTGACTAAACTGAAGTCATTCCACCTCCAACCTCTTTTTTTTTTTTTTTTTTTTTTTGAGATGGACTCTCGCTCTGTTGCACCCAGGCTGGAGTGCCGTGGCGTGATCTCGGCTCACTGCAACCTCTGCCTC